TTTATTACTCTAAAATTTAGATGTTTAACAGAAATTAAACGTGATTATACAATCTTTAATTATCAGTTTATTATTAACTTTTACCAGCATTTTATCTAAGACAACTAGTGCACGATAACTACAATTCATTACAAAAGACATCAATATTGAAGTAAAACGAACAAATGTTATAAAGTTCTTAACAAAAATAATACTTAGTCTATATTTAGATATGCGATACAATAATAAGATAATACATGCATCAGTTTAAAATACATAAAGCAAATGGTTTATTTACTGCATAGAAAAATAATAAAACATACGTCACAACTAGCAGTTTTTATTTATTTGAAAAAAAATTCTAAGAAGTAAATTATAAATATTTACCGTTGACTAGTCTTGTAAATAAGTTATAACGTAAAAGATAATTTGGATGTAACGTTATTCATATATATATATATATATATATATATATATATATATATATATATATATATATATATATATATATATATAGATAGATAGATAGATAGATAGATATATAGATAAGTTCATGGTGGTAGAACAATAACGCACATATACAATGGATTAATGAGAGATTAATAAGATACAAAAAGTTACCCGTATTTTCGTCCCGTCTTTATAGCACGGAACAATACTCGAATCTCCAGGTTTAGTTTTAAAGAACAGCCAGTATTTATCAATAGTTTTACAATTTAATAAAGGTTTAGTATTAAGCTTCGAGTCGAGATTACGATTCGTGTTCTTTTGTGAGATTTTATTTTATAAATAAAAACTAAGATGTAATCCTAATACATAAATTCTCGTGGACAAACCATTAAACTCTTTCTTTCTCTCTATCTGTCTGTCACAAATTATACTGAGGCTATGAAATCAGTGTTCTAATTAATATATGGAGAACTTAGAGATAATGACTTATGTCAAAGTAATGTTGAGTCTTCTAAATGTATAAACTAAACTTTATTCGAGACTTTAGTTATGCTACGAGAAAAGTGGTTATGGTTATGTTTGTGTGATTTGTTTATGTGTTTGTCAAGAACGCTCTAAATAACATGTAAATAACACAAAATCTAGCTCATTCAAAGAGGACGACGTCACTCAAAACTAATAGGAAAATTTCATAATGAAACAATGTTAGTACAAAAGGTTAAATCACATAATGTACACAACAATAAAGGCGTTATTGATTATAAGATAAATAAACCTGGAGTGATCTTACCTAAACTTTCTCAAATATTCTTATAAAAGACAACAGGGGATGGCAACTCGGGAGTTAGACATGATTTCTAATTCATTTTTAATTACCTAAACTTTTAAAAATAGAATAGAATTTCATCGAAAAAAGAATTGCACACCAAGTGAACGCAAAACAAAATGTGTATAAAATAGTGGAATATTATTAGTAGCCAGTAGCGTACGCAGGGGGGGAGCAGGGGGAGCGGCCGCTCCCCCTCTAGCCATTTTCAGCAAAGTGGCGCCTTTTTGGAAACTTTTTAAACTCAAAGTTTTAAACAATGACATTTGTTAAAAAATATTTTTGGTCGGCACATCTATGTAAATCACAAGATTTCTTTTCATGCAGCAATTAAGCATTATTGTACTAGTCTAGTAGTGTCTACGTTTACAACACGTATTAACAGCTGCATCAGTTTGCCATTCTAAAAATAACCATTACGATGCATTGCAATGTTTAAAAAGCCTCTACGGTAGTACCACTTGGCAAGAGGGGTGTTAAGTTTAAGGCAACTGTATAATGTATTTGCTTACGAATAATTGAATTAGAAAATGTTATACATAAAACTTCACACATAATTACTTTATATATACAGTTTGAATCGTGTGATTAATTTTAAAAAAATTACAATACAGAAACAAATACAACTGATGTGGCACCTCTATTTAAATTTACTTATGAGCAAACTGCGTAGTGTTGGGGAAATTTTGACAAGGTCAACAACGTCAACAGGATGAAGTAGTAGTATTCTTACAGTTTGAGAGATAGTGATTACGATTACAAATTATATGAAACAGTTACAACCCCCTCCCCCATGGACCCCTCTGTAAAAAAATATTGTCATAATACCACTGCTACTTATTTAAATCTATTTCTGTAATATATATTTGTGTAATATATATGTATGATTAGAACAGTCATCTAAAAACTGACGCTATGTTCTCTCTGAGTTGGTTATCCCCCCCCCCCCCCCACCACCACAATTGTGTAGAGCGACATTAATGTCACACCTAGGTATACACTGGGTTGGATAATTGACCTAAAGTGGACGGACAGTGGTGAATGAAGAAGTTGAACTCCACCCCCCCCCCCCCCCGAACTGATCTGTTAAGTACATGTAGAAAAACGGGTAAGGATGTACCAAAGTACCATGCCGCCAGAAAATTAGCTTTTTAAACGTAAAACTCTGTGAATATTGTTTTTGCAATTACCAGTAAAAAGGTGTATGATCAATACAGTGATCTAACCCATACCTATCACAATGTTAAAAAATGATCTTTGAAGAACACAAAGAAGCAGTAGTTAATTAAAATATATGATCTGAACTAAAAGACCGATATTTAGTTAAATGTATGTTGTTATTCCGAATGTTTTTCTGTTATATCGAAAAGCGTGGTTATATACCAACTCTGATTTTAAAAACTTTCATTATGCTGTGATACTTTAGCATTTATGATGACGATAAATTGAATTCTGATTATAGACAAAAACATTTTGTAAACACGAATAGTGCTAAACAATTTCATTATATCTTTAAGTAATTATTTATTTGTTTTGACATTTATAATGAAATATGTAGATATATACAAATTTATGTAAAGAGAGTGATAATTTCCCCTATTTCACTTGTCTGAAATTATTTCCCAGGAATTATTATGTAAGAAATTTTTTTACAAGAATTACAAAACAGATTGTGTATCGTTCATTGTTTTTTGGTTGTAGTGTGTTTATATATATATTTTTTGTTTAGATTGATACAATTTTTGCTTTGTCGGCCTACATTGTGTGTTTTTTCTTCTTTCTTCAGAATGCTACTTTCAATTTATTTTACATCATAGCGAAGTAATGACATACAGCTAGTATATATATATATATATATATATATATATATATATAATACACGTATATAGAACGTGTTAAAAATTCGGCGCCTTTTTGCCCTTTTCGCTCCCCCTACAACGAAAACCTGGATACGCCTCTGTTAGTAGCCTACTTTATAAATTCACATGGGTTTTTTTTTGAGAAAGCGGAAATGGCAAAAAGACTACTTCCAGTCAACGGAGATTATTTAAAATTTGACAGATAGCAGAGAAGTAAATCTTTTACTTACATGGGGAAGTTTTTTTATCTATCTGAAATAGTACTCAAGTTATGGAATTTTGAATAATTGAAAGTAGAAAAAGTTCCTTCTACGGTTATCGGAAATAGGTCAAAATTTGATAAGGATCTACAAATCTGAAATAATACTTATTAATGAAATTTCATTAACCTAGCTGTAATAGTACTAAAGTTGTCAGGTTCACCCACTTACACACACACACATACGAACAAGGTTACAGAATTATGTATTTCCGACTAAGGGGGTAAAAGGTACAATTACAATACTTTCTCTATACTTCGTATATACGAGAAAGTAAAAAGAAGTCAGTAGATTTTAGAAATTTAACACAAACATAGACATAAATAAAGAAGAAGTACAGAAAACGAAAAACTACTAAAAACAAAACAAAACGTATATGTTTACATAAAAATGCTTTAAATGTAATCATAGACCAGATTTTTAACTTTCTCGTATACAGAGAATAGAGAAAGTTTGGTAATTGTGTAAAAACATCACATGTCATTTTAACTTTTATCACCGTTTTACTTCTCAGTACTTCGTCATATACGGTGTATAGGGGACTTATTTTAATCAGAAAAAATAAGTATTATATCAAATCTGTCGCCCTTTTTTTTATTTTGTCAGCTATCTCCAATAATTCTACTTTCAATTTTTTCAAAGTCTACAACGTGAGTACTGTTTCAGATAGATAAATGTAATTTCACATATAATTAAAAGATCTTATTCTCTGCCTTCCGTCAAATTTTGAGATATTTCTGTTGATCGGAGGTTTTACGTATTGCCCATCTTAATCATCTCAATAGAGATATACCTAAGGAGTAGAGTTGGGTAGGTGTAGAGTTCATATGTGACGTCAGTATACAGTATATCTAGTGATAGTGTGGTCAGACCTATGCTCAGCCGAAATCGGTGTTTTAAAAGACAAAGACATGTCTGAGTTGGTGGGACACTGGGTAGGTGAAGTATAGATGACCTGTTTTTGTGACCTAAGCATATAAGGGATAGTGTGGTCAGATCCATGCACAACCGAAATAGGTGTTTTTAAAAGACAAAAACGTGTGAGCTGTGAAGTCTTTTTGAATGTGGGGTCTGGGTTTTTTTTTTGTGACGATAAGGGACATACATGATGTCATTTATGTAAGATCCCCTCAAAACCCATAGTTATCCAAGAATAATGGGTAGTCTAATTCACACTATAATTCTCACTGCACATAGATATTGACCTGAATGAACCAAACACTCCCCTTGGGATTCAATAAAGATTACCCCATGAATGGATGGTGGACAACAAGGGCATTAAAACAGTATTAAAGAAGATACTCAGGACTGAACCAAAACAATGGAATCAAGTCTAAATTAACCTTACCCATGCCTTAACATGAGCCAAAGTGATGCTACTAATAAAATGACAGATGCACCACCTAATCCCACTGCTAGGTGTGGAACAAGCCTAAATAAACCTCATCCCTGGCTTAACTTAAGCCGAAAGGATACAACTAATGAAAATAACAAATACACCATCTAACCCAACTAAGAATGAACCATAACTGTGGGTCATGTATAAATAACCAAGCCAATCCTCGGATTTACTTAAATCCAAGGAACAACTAACAATAACCAATGCCGTAAATTTTGCCTCAACAGATGGTTTACAAGCATAAGCCGACAAAGAAGTCTTCCTCTATCATCTCAATAAAGATATACCTAAGAAGTAACACTCAGTCGTATTGCATACTGGATATTTACCTGGATGAACCAAAGACTCAGCTGGGGATTAGATAAAAATCACCCCAGTAACAGATGGTCGACTACAATGGCATTAAAACAGTATTAAAACAGTTAATCAGGAGTGAACAAAAACGGTGGGTCAAGTCTAAATAAAACTTATCCCTGCTTTAACATAAGTCCAGGGGTTACAACTAATGTATAAAGCCAATCCTCGGATTAACTTACATCCAAGTAACAACTAACAATAACCAATGCTGTGAATATTGCCTCCACAGGTGGTTTACAAGCATAAGCCTTAATATTAAGAAAATGCATAACATGAATAAAAAATAGACTTTACAATAAAGTCTTCCTGCCATCACGTGGTAGACACTATTGCAATTGTGAGTAAGTCTAAACTAACATGTGCAGGAAAAAATTAGCCCACGCCAAAATTGCATAATGTAAATGTGAAATATATATATGTGAAACGTATAAGGCTCATATATATATATATATATATATATATATATATATATATATATATATATATATATATATATATATATAAACAAAGTACAAAATACGAACATAGAATGCTCACTTCGGGTTTGTTTCATTTTTTTTTTTAAAGTAGTTTTTTTTTTTAATTTTTTTTTTATTAAAACAAGTCACAACACGTGTGTGATTGCGTTTTTTTTTTCTTTTTTTTTGTTTCATGTAATTGACAGCGTCAGTTTGCCCTGCAGGCTCGGTTTGGTAATACAGTTTTCATCATCGGCTTGTGAGGAATGATACAGATTTACAATAGTAATACTTCCTTCTTACTTGTAGCCTACTTTCATTCATTTAAGCTGGTTTACTTATACCTAGATCTAATACAAAACGTCTAATTACAATTTTATTTAAAAAAACGACCTGAAAATGCAAATGTGTAATTAAATGATGATTCAAGGGATCCCCCCCCCCACCCCCCAATCGGCATGGTGGGCTGAAAGGGGCTTGGGCTTTTAAGAAGAGCTGAAATAAATGTGGGATTACAGAAAATTAAAATGATACAAATGTTAAGCAACCGGAAAAGTTATGTTGACTACAATGAGACACATCAAAGCAAACATTCTTCCTTTTCAAACATCTATATCTATAGAAGTACTCCCACAGTTTTTATTTTTTGAATTTATTTGTTTTAAACATTTAAATTAGTAATGATAATTTATTTGATGGTTTTACACAGGTTCTTGACATGAACATCAATTGTATGTATAGAAATAAAACGGAGAAAATAAAATGGCATAAGAACTAGATTACAATAAGGTGTGCAAACTCGCTTTCTTCTGACTGCTTAGTTTACTGTGCTCCATCCTCAGCTGCGAAGTCAAGAGTTCACGTTGTATTGTGTATGTGGGGGGGGGGGGGGGGGGTCAGGTGTGTGTCTCTTTCTACCATTCAAATTGTGCCCTTTTAAAACCTAAGAAACATAAGACTCTTCTCGAGGGCTGATCGAGTGATGTTTAGCTTGAGACTGTCTTAATTAAAATTAATACTTTTTTTCCCATTCTTTTTCTTTACAATTTTTTTTAGTTAAGTGAGGGTTCCCAGTTTATGTCTTAGCTTTTTTGAAATATTTCTTTTCACTCGATGTCCATGGAATTTGCAAAACAAAATCTAAATTTATTCCTTTTTTCTCATATAGTCGATCAATAAATAGCCGTTGCTACTAGTTTTTTTTTTTTCGTCTTCTGTTCTTTGTCTAGTCGTGCTAATTAAATTAATTGTGATTGCTTTATTTGTTATGACTGATTGGTGGTTTTTTAAATTTTCGCAAGTGTTTGCTTTGCTTTCTGTATTAATATACAATCTAAAAAAAATTGTTTTTTCAGTTTCTTGTATATTTTGTTTACACGTTTGACATGTTATTTTAACATTTTGATTTGACTTTGTATTTCGTGACACTGGAGTTGTTTTAAAAATCAGTCTTTATGCTACGTCCCTATCTTTTGGTGTAATGCGTTTATTATGTAGGTTTCTAAATGTATCTTTAATGTATATTCTATTGTGTTCCCTGGCCCAACTAATTCTGGTGTATAAGTGTGTCGCTTGTCGTTTGATTAGGATGTCGTATATTTTTTGTGTGTCTTCCCCAATAATATTTTTGTTTCGTTGGAATATTGCTAGCGTTTCTTTATAAAAGCTGCCTATGTCATTTCTCCCATAGTGTGGTGTTATGTTTCGACATAGGTCTGCTATAATGCTGCCTATAAAACAGTCGGTCAAAAGAATACGAAGAATGAATGCTTTGTATGTGTAATGGTTTCTCGCGTTATGTTTATTTGTATGTATTTTTTTTAATGTATATTATTAGTTTTAAATACATTTCCTTTTTATACTATGTCATTCATTATTTTGTATTTTCAAAAAAGAGAAATAATTGCTAATTTGTTTAGTGCAAATATATTAAAAGGTGCTTAAGAGTATACAAATTTAAAAAAGGGAAATAAGTCATGGAAGTACAAACTTTCTTTTTATGCAGCAATATGATTAAATACTAAAAACGTGGGTACGTTCACCATCAAATTTCCCGACCCATCTGCCCGACCCACGTTTTTTGTCATCAAATGTATGAAAATTTATTTTCTACTTTTTAGTCCACAAGAAAAACGTGGTTTTTAAAAAAGTTTTTTTTAAGTATTTTATTTTCTCCTTTTTAGTCCGTTGCTACACATGAAAAACGTTGTTTTTAAAAAAGTTTTTTATATAGTTTATTTGCTACTATATCTAATGACTTGATTAAGTATGACTTGACTAAGTGTTTATAAATACACGGACTAAAAATCTTGAGCGACCAGGATTCGAACCTGGGTTGTCGCGGCCACAACGCGAAGTACTAACCACTATACGATCACGGCCAGCGCGCTCACATCGATTGGGGCCGAAGTAACTGTGCCAATAGGCCTCCAGTCTTGTCGGTATCTTTAGAAATCATGTCCTCAATTTTATGGTCCTTGGGGCGTAATTAAATTAAGCTAATTACGGTCTCTAATTGCTAGTTTTTATGATTGCATCTGAAATTGTTAGGCGAAAGTAGCCTACATGCCAAATTTCAGATCTATTGAGCAATCAGAAGTGGGCTAATTTTCGATGTCAATTTTAACAACAAACAAACAAATCCACAAACGCGAAGCTGAGTTAAGAAAAACGTGTTAATAACTAGGCCTATTTACTGCCTGATATTTATATTATATTTTATTTCAAAAGCTAGCACTAATAAAAATGCAATAAATACTAAACAGAGTACTAGATCAAGATTTCTAGAATCAATGTAGTATGTTTTAAACCTATAGACCTAATGTTTAATTTTAAATTCCTTTACTAGTTGACATTAAATAAGAGTTCACAAAAAAGGCGTAACCATGGACAACTAAGGCTCAACACATTTAAGAGATTCCTTTCATATGTAGTGTGTTACTGTAGTGTAGTAGAACAACAAAAGTAAGGCTTCAAAATACTCATTCATGAGAGTTAGCAGGTGCAGTTTTCATGAATTTAACAAATACATATGTTTATTTTAGCTATTTTATTGGTTGTGCATGGATATTTAGAGAAAATGTTTTTTTTTACAAATTACTAATTGGTCCGTTAGCACCGGATGTCGAGAATTAGCAACATACCGTAATTAACATAAAAATAGGTCCAAATTTAAAAACAACAATATATCTCAAATTTATTGTAAAAATGATGAGAAAAAATCAACGCAAATAATTTTATACACGCTTCGAACATAATATAGGCATTAAGAGGCTAAAGCACTTGTGGGAATGGATAATATAATGCCATACAATAGATATATTTATACAAGTCCTTAATACAAGTAAGGTTTTGCAGGAAAAACCTTCATAATTCCATTTCTGAAATTGTGTTAAGCTGTTATTCTATTCATTTAGCTAATGGCAATCCTATGATTAGATAAAGTTTTACGTGGCTTATAGAATACATATTTTATAAGTCACTTGCATTCATGCGCAGCATTAAATGTAGTGCAATGCTTAGGCACTGTGCAGATAATATGTATCACAGAGGGGGCAATATTCCCATGGTTTGATTTGATTGTTTTTTATAGCTTCATTGTTCTGATAAATAAAGTATGTTTATTCATATAATATAATGCGTTGCATTAAAGTTAAGCTTTCCGTTAAAACAAATATGTTTACGTGGCAAGTTTAAATATTCACTGTTGACGTGTTTTTAACCAGGTTTCGGATTAAAATAAGCTTAATTTTTAAAATGTTTAGGTGATACCAGTAAAGCTATTGTCCAAAAACATTTTAGAGATTAGATTGGCTGGAATTAAATTTAACGACTAGTCAGTTTAAGGATTTATGGGGAAACTAGAAAATAACTAGGATTAGTTCACCGGGATTTAGTGTTACAGAATGTACAGCCTTGGCTACTTAACTGTTTCAATACAGAAAGTTCGTTGAATTTAATTTTTGTTTAATAGAATGCTATAAATTTGGCAAGGCAATAGAGTATGTTTAGTACGAATATACAGTTGCATATAATAAGCATAATGATATATAAAATTATTACACAAAAGTAAATATTTAGACATTGCCTAACACCCACACCACCCATCCCAAACCCCAACACTTCTCACATCACGTTGCACAACATAGCATCGCCTTAAGCTTACCACACTAAACCAACGTTTCCCACCAAATAAATCTTCATAAACGCCAAACGCATGCGAAACACAAATCAAGCACACTAAGCACATTTTCCCCCGCGCCAGAAGGAACCACACCTTAAGGTCAAAATAACACCACACGATCCACATATCACCACATATCACCATCACGTCACGAAAACAACAACACAGCTTACGACGTACATAAAACGTCACACTCTACGCCACATACAGGCCTACAACATACACACGGAATAGTCCAAATCCCACAAAAACCCACTCTAGATCACAAATCACACCAGGGTAGTCTTCACGGCACCATGAGCCCAACCCAAACGCAATGTCTAAATATTTACTTTGCAACTAAAGCCATCATTTTTCCCAGTAACTT